CAACTGAAGATGACAGAAGTTCTGTCGAAACATGTCTTTCAAACTTAAAAAATTGGTCGTTTTCCTTAAAATCTTGACTTACAGTATATCGTAAAAAGACGCATTCCTTAATGGTGTTTATGAATTGGTAGAGCAACGGCTAAATGGCATGAGAGAAACTGATAGTAGTCCCTATAAGAGATTGGTGGCATTATATCGCTGACCGCCAATTATTAGTAAGCTGACACAAAGACGACCTAAGATGTAATTTGTTAAGAGCATCATATCCGTCAAGAGATTTAGATCCATTGATTATTCGCGTGACAATTAGACTTTAACGTTTCTGGCTCTGTAGCTGTGTAGGTAAATACATAAATGTTATAATAGGGGCTGCAAAAGCGGCCTAGGCTCCAAACATGACCACTTGGTCAAAATGGCTCTGTAGCTAAAATTGATATGGAAAAGAAATGATAATAAAGTTACATTGAGTTTTCATTTTGCATCATACGTTGTCTATGTGGTGTTTTTGGACTGTTCTGGAGCATTGTAACCGTATTTTAGCAGAATTTTGATTTTTATGCTACTCTTACCTAAATTATCGCAAGGGATACCTACACGAGCCTCCCTCGACACTACAACACTCGACAGCCTATTATGATTTATTATTAAATTATCAATTATTAATCAGCCCTACTCGCCCCAAAATTTTCCAAGGGTAACTGCAAAATTTGCCAGCAAAAGTATACGTGAAATACGCGCGACAATTTAAAAAAAAAAAACCTGGATACATCAAAATATTAAAAAGAAAAAGGATAAAACTGATTAAGACACCATTTACTCAAAAGAATAAAAGCCAATATGAAATTAGCCCGCTTTAAAGCAGCTGAACCAAAGTGGGCTTTAGGTAATAACTAGGTATTTTATTTGTTTTTACATATCTTGGTATCAGGATATGCAGTTACTAGAGTTCAAACGATGTATGAATAAAGGAGAGAGATAATTGATGAATTATAAAGCAGGACAAACCTTTTCAAATATCGTTATTTCCGGAGAACTTCCTGAATTTCGTGACATATAAACAATAGCCTCCATTTGACGCAGAAATATGCTCGGATATTTGTCCGCGGGTATTATCTGTTCCGAGAAGCGAACAGTTTTCCGAGAGCGCGTAGCTCGAGGAAAGCTGTGACCTTTGAGGACAGATGATGTCCAAGGACAAATATCCGACCATATTTTCGCGCCAAATGGAGGTTATTGTGTTAATTACCCTTCAAGTATTTTTCGCAACACGTGCGGTTTTAAAAATTGGGGAATATCACTCGGATATTCCCCAGTTTTAGCTGGGGAATATTCAATCACGTGACGTGTTTAAACCAATCTGCGCGAGCGAAAATATTTGATGGATTATAATTAAAAATATCCTATCTTAAATTATGGAGATATTCTAGGAATTGCTGATAATTTGCAATGGGAACTGAAAATTCAATTTTTCGGAATATCCCGGGAAATATTCCGAAGTGCCAGGAATATTCCACCAATTGTACGGAGTTTTAATTTAAGAAGAGTTATTTTGTGTTGAAATAAATTTGGAAAATTCTCGGAAATATTCGATGATCCATAACTGTACCGAAGATTTCTGAGAATTCTCGAGAAATTTTGAAAAGTATTGAATTTTTTTTCGTTTCCCGAAAATCACTTCGCACCTGCAGGTTAGGTTAAACTGGTTTAACCTGAAATTTAATGTTTTCAGTGGGCGTTGGTGATGCTAATCACAGCTCTGGAAGACAATTAAGAGGAATCGAGCAATTTTGCTGCGCAGTGACAAGAAGAGACTATTAATCGTTAGGAACTTCATTTTGAGGTATGAGAATGCCGTGATATTACCTTTCAGTCACATGTTTCCATTCTTCTATTTTATAAGTAACGGTTGATCAAAGAGAAACCGATCCGGGTGCAACGCGATGGCAGGTTCCCGGAAGTTTCCTTGTTTACATGTTTTAGTGGGAGTTATACATGTAGAGACACAGTGCGCGAAGCTTAGCGATCAGTAACTAGCTCGATATTCTGAAGTCTGCTCAAAGTAACCGCGCGTTATTAAATTCCTTCATTTAGGAGTGTTTAAACGTTGCGGAGCTCAAAGGACTCTATTCAGTTCACAGTTGTTATGTTATGCATGCATGCATGGATGCAGACACTCACCTTCGCATGTCGTAGTAGTACCAAATTGTCCTTGCATTAGTGTGACATTTATCCTAAGAGATATTAGCAGAGTGCTAGCAGATAAGAGTTTCAAGATTATGGTAAACGTAGGGTGAATGATAAATATATTAGCCGTTTGAAATCAGAAATACGAGGTCAACTTGATTAACATGCGCTTGTTCTTTATATGAAGTAAATTAAAATGATAAAGCTGCATCTGTACACGTTTATACAATGCTATTGTTTTCTTCTCGTCCTCAGCAAGCAAACGGGTTTCTGCTAACTACAAGATGCCTTTAGACACAGTGTTATGCCTCGATACCTCGGCCTCCATGGGTTTTAATAACAATGAGGGTATCAACCAGCTTAAAGCTGCCGCACTCAAATTCCTGGAGGGAGTGGAGGAGACTGCAAGACAGGCCAACTTAAAGGTAGAGTCGACGTGCGAAGCGTTTGTGATGCATTAATCCTAAAGAACTACATCTGACAGAGAAACCTGCTAAGCGGCCAATAAGAGTATCGATAATTAAGCCGTGTACGGTTTTGAAGAAGAACGCTTTGCAGGTAATTGTAGAATCAAAAATATTATGTATCATATAGTTTTGTTTGTATTGCTGAATTCCAATTCAACACGCGATAAATTCACTGGTTGCACCTTCGGTCATTTTAGGCTTCCGGGACAAAATAAAGTTATACTGTGGAACATTGTTTTTGAGGAAAAGTACGTTTTATAAGCTCATTACTGACTTAAGGCCTGTCGTGGTTAGTAATGCAATCACCAAACAGGGATTCCTCTCCAAATACAAACATATTTCTGTTTCCAGTCAGCCGGTTAGAAAGAGAGTATTAATATATCGATAATTCCGTTGCTCTGTATCTGAGACTAAGTAACTGCGCTTTTTCATGTGTATCTAACAGCGAGCGAAGTACAGTCGGAGTTTGCGATTGTGTTATCGATCGTACATGTTATCGATTAAACATGTTGTGACTTTGTTACTTTTATTGCTAACTGCAAAATCTATCGGAGGCAGTGATCTTTTAACCTGGTTTCAGCTTCTCAGAAGACCTTTTCTTCCGTCTCGACGTACGGTTGCTTAATTGATAGATTAAACCATTAATAGACCTCATTCACCGCCTCTAGCTGTCGTAAGGATGTCACCTGGTCTCTATTGGGTAGAAAACAAAAATGAAACCCACTTCACTGAAATTTCTCATGGCATTTGGGTTTTTGCATAAGATTCGGAAGCTAAGCAGGCATGGTTCATTTCTGTGTTTAAGATTATTTCACGGCCTCCTTTAAGATATACAACTTGTAAAGTAAGGGGATATTACTGAATTTTATTGCAAGTTGGCTAATTTTCGAGAATGCCCTATTTAAGGAGCTTTTTTACGGTCAACCCTCATGACCCTCACGGATATTCGTCTTCAAATATTTTCATAAACAAGTTCATTCTTCAACTTTATTATTCGATTGATTTTATGACCAGACTCTTCAAACATTGAATTTTGACAGTCGCATTCGTCAAAATATTAGAAATTTCCTTGAATATTGGAGGAAATACAAGGCGACGAGCAATTAGGCAGATGACTATGCAGACAGAGACACAGTCACATGTAGCTATCACGGCAAACGACATGAGATCTTCTAAGGTCTTCTGCATTTTGTTAACTACGTGGACACTACGTTACATGTTTATTTTGTAGCGATTAAACACCTAAAATCAGACACTTAGCGAGGTTTCTTACTAACTGTAAACCAAAAGCTATCAGTTTTCTCTTTTCATTTCAGTTTATTTTGGCAAAATTAATCTCAATCTCCAAGAACTGATTAATCGAAAAATGACTCTAAAAGTTTGGTAATAAGCAAAGATTTTTGTGGTCCAAATCATAGTGTTTTTCTACGCTTTTGGTTTTGTTTTGTTTTCACAAATGAATACAGATTGCTTCTATCTATTTAATCACGGTTGATTGATGAACTGATCACATGAGAGAGCACCGCTGTTATAAAGTGAGAAAATAATAATCGTAGGGGAAAAAAATGGAATAAAAGAGAGAGACCTAAATATAAAGCCGAAATGTTTTTCACTATCACGGTTCCTGCTTCTCTTCAGTGTTGTAGCAACTACACAAGAGTATATACGCATGAATGACAAATGTTTATCGCGTTTCAGCTTCCGAGCTAGAAATTAAGTAACTTTTTAGCTTCCTTGATCATGTCAAAACCACAGCTACATTCGCTAGTCATTGGCTATTGATAAATGTCCGATTTAAGGGTAATTATTTGATCCTAAGCATGACATATGCGCATAAGTAAATGTCACTGAACATATGTTTAGGCATAGACCATTATAAATTTACGGGCGAGGGAGTTCATAACGCGGATGGCCAATAGACCTTATCACGGTTTTGGAAGCCATGTTGACGGGTAGGCATCACATGTAAGAAAGCTCAGTGTTTGTATGGGAATCCGATGGCAACAGGAGCCATAATCGGGGACGAAGACCGTAAGTCTCGGGATCCGCGCGCACCTATGATATGGGACAATTTTTCTATTTTTAGAACAAATTGCGCCATCCTGACGTCATATATCCGCGTGGANATCCGCGCGCACCTATGATATGGGACAATTTTTCTATTTTTAGAACAAATTGCGCCATCCTGACGTCATATATCCGCGTGGATCCACGCACGTGTCAGGGGTTCTCGCGTGGATGTTGTCACGTTGCATGATCAAATGGTGAGAGTTGCGAGATTCTCTTGCAGATTTTTCACAGCGATGGCAGGGAGTAAGGCAAGGAATTAGATCCAGGGCTCTTATATGTAGTTTTGTGCTCTGAGCTGATGGAAAAGGTGAGTTTTTCAGTGTCGAAAACAAGACTTCAATTTCGCGTTGTGAATGAATAATATGTGCTCGCGCTAGTTGAACGCGTAAGCTTTTGCTTTTGTTCTGTAAAGAAAAGTTATGAAAGAAAACTCTTTACTTTGGTATCGAGTTAATTTGAGAGTTTCCCGAAACAATGCTTAATCATAGCGAAACCCTGTTTTTGATAGTTTCTTGTTGCTTCTGTTCGTTTGGCGAGTTTGCACAAGATTTTTAACGGAAAGTCTGACGCGTACATAAGTAGCTCATTTGCATAGTGCAGCGCGTGCACGTTCAAATCCGAGTCGGTGTTTTCAATTGTCAACAAATCTTGACAAAGATTTCTTTCGTTGTCTTTTGCGCTGAGAAGCTGCAACAGTTTTCACCAACGCAAAAAGGCTACTAACATCGTGTGTATTTCTTTAACATGGTGTAATTTTACACTGCGAAAATAAAAAAAAAAAAAAGAAAATAGACATAGAGTTTTCATAACTCAACCAAAAAAAATTAATCGAAATCGTTAATCGAGTTGATTAAAGAACGCGTCATCGTAACTTTGCTGATTATTTCTGCTGTATTCACATATTTTCAGCTAAGCATACGAATACGTTCTCAAACATTTATCAACCTTAAACATATTTAAAAGCTAGAGATATTATATGAGTTCGATGTACGCTTTCACACAAAAGTGGGGAAGTCCAATTTGTCATGTTTTACTGACTGTTCAAAACACGCATCGGCGGGCGCTCTTATTCATCGAGAACAGACAATTTATTGGATTTTTACACAAACAAAACTGAGCAGCATCTACAGACATAAACCTCATTGCCATTTATTGGGCCTTGATAAAGCATCAACCGTTGCTTACAATTCAGGCGAAACTCAAACTTGCAATTACTTTATTTTACTTTTCGGTCGAGATAGACCTGGCGAAATCCTCGCAGGCGTGTGGCAAGAGGAGGGAAACTTTAAAGTCCTGAAACGGTACTATATCCAAATATATCCAACTGTTTTTTTGCTGTGTTATGGAAAAGCTGTTAATCTTCAACATATGTGAAACTTAGAGTAGAGTAATGTGGAGCTCTTGTAAATGAAGCAGCGGAACACAACTTGGTCAGCGATATGAAGCGGGACATAACTAAATTCGGCACTGTCTTACTTCACTCAAACTGTAGCAGCTTACGACGAAAATACTGAAGCAAAATTCCAACAGACATGAACGTATTGATTTGTGGCCAAAAACATCAAACATTTCGGGAATTTTGGACGCCATTTCCCCGCGCTATATCCGCAAAAATCCACGCAGCATGTACGCGCGTGTGCCGCACATGATGGCGCAATTTGTTCTAAAAATAGAAAAATTGTCCCATATCATAGGGACAGCCCCAATACTAGAAATAGCGCGCGCTTACGGTCTCCGTCCCCGATTATGGCTCCTGATGGCAACTGATTTTCTTTCAAGTGGAATACTGAACAATTTATGAATAATTATTAGACAAAGGATTGAATGTAGCTGTTCCAGAAAAGGGCCACTCACGTTTTTACTTAAGTGTCGTGATACATTTCTTAGTCTATAATTTGTGTCCGCGAAGTGGTGCGTACTCAGCCGCGTACAAGTTAGCGGGAAAAAAATGCAGACATATGTATGAAATATTAAAAACGTCTAGTATCTTGACTTTGTTGGTCATAAATTGTTCAGAATTCAATTTTAAAGAATCTTTTTTTTTTTTTTTTGCCATCTGATTCCCATACACACATTTTTTTAAAATGTGTCAGTAATTAAAATTACTGACACTGTTGCCTACCCTTGAAAGCCATGATGGCGTATATTGCCTAACTGAAAATCCTGTTCAATTCTGTTGATTTACTTACCAGCCACTAAGTTGTTGTTATCCATGCATATATTGACACTCGTTCATTCACTAATCTCTGCAGCCAGTGTTGTAATGTTATTTTAATCCGTTACGATTCCACATAGGAAAACGTTGCAATCGTCGAGTTTGGAGCCAAAACACAGATTTTGCACAACTTGTCAACGAACTACTTAAGCCTTAGAATGAAAATAGGTAAGTTTTTAACATGAACATGTACTCTTTCCAAACTTTGACTAAGGAAACATTTAGCTCGAGTTTAGTAAGTCATGTCATATGGGCGGCAGATTAAGAAATCATTAGAACTCTAGAACAAGTAACTTTCTGCTGTGTTTAAATTTCAGGTAACTTGCGCCCTTAACTTATCCGCGCACAAATGAACTGCTTTGTAACAGCTCGGACGTACAAGCTAACTCATCCCCCCCCCCACAGTGGTACAAAAAGGGGGTGGATGGACCCCTTGTCCCTCGGGTTTTCGTTCTGTTGAGGCACAGCGAAAAATATTTTCATTAATTNGGGGGGGGGGAGCTTTTCAGGCTCTTCAAGAGTTTGAATCGCCGTTGTTGTAAAACTGCACTGAAACATGCAATAAACCCCAAATGTGGAAAATTTTCCTAAATTAATCTTGGAAACAGTTGGAAAAAGTTAACTTGTCATTGGTTATAGATCTTGGTCAGTGTCCATAGCAACCGTATTTTGACATGCACGTTTTTAAATCCGCGCTTTGAAGGATATTTTTGACTTTCTTAAAGTAAAATTCTTTAGATACTTTTAGCTTTCCTTGTCAGTTTTGAATATTTTTGAGCCATTTTTGGTGGTTTCTAGAGTTTTGTGAACATCATAAAATCCAAGGTGGTAGCTCTTCGGAAATACGACGTCAGAGCTACGTCATAACACGTCATCGATCCACGTTGCAGACTTTAAAGGCAATATATTTGGGTCACATACGAGCTATGAATCTTTCAAGTTTCATTTTTATAGCCTTAATACTCCAAACAGGAGTAAGAGGGCGAGACTCTCGCAGAAGACCAGATAAATTTCCGGTCTGAAAAGGGTTAATTTCTCTTCTATTTTTGCAGCTGGACTTCAAGCTAATGGGACGACCCCAATGAAAGACGGCTTGTTGATGGCACTGCAGGAGATTGGAAAAAATGGTGAGAAATTTACTGCTTAGCGATTTTTTTCCCACTGATCCGACCGAGTTAATTATCTTGCGCGACATCCAATGAAATCGAGACGGATTCGAGGAATGAATCATTTTTCCTGTGAACTTAAAAATTGCGATATATCCTCTAGTTCTTCAAATCACCAGGTCAAATGAAGACGGCATTGACTCGCCGGAGTTTCTTATCGTCATTTAGGGCAAGTTATTATGAGCAACACCAGCTAATTTTGTAGCGCAGTCATCTCTTCTTGTTTTTTTTTTTTTTCCGTTTGTTCACCCTACTTTTTTTCTACTTAAATGGAAACAATTTGTTCCAATCAACCAAAATGCCCTTGCGAAACATTTTTCAAAGCGATTGGCTTCGGGCTCGCTGAAAAAGCCCGGTTTGATTGAGTATAGTTAACAATTATTCCACGACTGACGCGTTGAATATGAGTTGATAGATAACCAACAATGCCTATAGTTATCTCTTAACCAACGAACGCGAGTTGAATTATTAATTTATTAAAAACTTCCCCCAAAAATAGAAAACTAAAATGACATAAAAAGAAAAACGCCCCAAATATTACATGTACGCTTACCATATTTGAAGAGCATGCTATAATGGCTCATAACCCATAATGGCTAAGCCAATGAAAACTCTCGAATTGCATTATCTAATGATCCAGTTTTTAATAATTACGATTTGCCCGTGATCTATCCTACTAAATTACACTTCTAGTCTTTTGACCTTCTTCACATACCTATATTAGGACAGCGAGTCGTTAACAGGTGGCCTTCTAAATCCTTATGTTAATTACAGGAGGAGTGCCGGGTAAATGTAAATGGAAGGAAGCTTTGTCCACGTATCATTCTTATGACCGACGGAAAGCCTACCGATGAAAACGGTCGTGAAACACAGCAAGTAAGAACATTTATTATATTACAAACTGAGCGAGTGGTGAAGATTCTTCGCTGCCTTTGTCCGTCTCTTGTCTACCCAAGCGGAAAAGATGGAGCTATCTTTGTTATCTTGGCAAATTTCAATCTGCCACGAACATTAGAACTCGCGGTTTTTAGACCTTTATTTCCGAGAATTTACGGCCGCCATTAATTTTCCTTGTTGAGAATTAGAGAAAATGATGACGTCATATTCTCAAAAATACCGCATGGGTTGAAATTATAATGACAATTCATGTTGAAAATTGCACAAACATATGAGCCAAAGTTTTTGTTATTTTTTATGCGGATTGCTGTAGTAATTGTTATTATAATTTCAACCCGTGCGGTATTTTTGAGAAAATGACGTCATTTTCTCCAATTCTCAGCCAAGACTTGGAACAAGGAAAATTAATGGCGGCCGTAAATTCTCGGAACTAAAGGTCTAAAAAACATGAGTTCTAATGTTCGTAATACACTAAATTTGCCAAGATATCTAGGAAAGATCTATTCGGTACGAAAATGTAAAAAAAAGTGGGCATCGAGGATTTGATCATAGTGGCACTTAAATATATTAATTAACATTTGATCGGTGATGTCATAATCAGTTTTTACCTTTTCGATCAGTCGTGGCAGAGTTTACTAGTCTAAAAACAGCGCGTTTGGCCGCTCCGTTTTTGTTTCGTCATTTGAAATAGTTTGTGAAATTTCGTTTTCTTTATGCCATGCTTTGTTCAGTCAAGATGACTGGATATAGGCTACGTGCTTCTCTTTTTTTTTTTTAATTCAGNCAGACTTTCTTCTCAGCTCCGGTATGTCATCATCACAGTCCTCAGTGGCGTTTCTAGAAACCCCGCCCCTCTTATTTTGGGTAAAACCCAAAAAAACCGCAGAATGAAGAAAAGCCGGCACTATTGCCCGATTTCAAATATATATCAAAATTTGCGTAATTAACTATAGTTAACTAAGCCTTATCTGATTTGATTTTTAGGAATTGACAGGAGTCTTATTGGTTGCAGTGCTGTTCGGGCCTCGCTGGCAGGAAGTGGGTCTTCCATACAAAATCCCCATTGCTTGTGTTGGGTGTGGAAATGCCGATAAGGTAATCTCAATAAAGAACTATTTTATTGTAAATAAATGGAGCGTGCTGGTCTGAACTTTAGGCAAATTTGTTGATGTAGCAAAGATCTTCTTTTCGCAGGCAAATTTCGACCTCAGAAAATTAAACTGGAAAAGTAAACTGACCAAGCACAAACACGTCTAGTGCAATTGACATCGCGAGGAAGGATCGTACTTACGTTTGGTCATCTACATCGCTCCCTGGATTTGGTGTCACAACCCTCCACAAATGGCAAATAATTTCTTACGAACCGTCACTATAACTTTTCAGTTCTCACAAGAAATGACCACCCATGTACAGAAGAGTGCAACACTGCCCCTTGAACGCAGAGATGATCTTCGTAATTAAGAATCCCTCGCCGATTTAAACTAGTTTTCTTGAATTAACTTGAGTAAAGAGAAAGAGGGGAGCTAGGGGGATTAAAGGTGTTGTTTAACTTTTTTTTTCCTTTTAATTCCTTTTTACTACTGAAACTTTGTATCATAGTAAATGGTTTGAACCCAGTAGTTCGAACTACTGAAACTTTGTATCTCGGTTGATATTTTGTTATGAAGAAACTTTTAGAGAGTATTGCACAAACGACTGGAGGGATGTACGTGATGGTTCATAACATGGATGAGCTCAGCACATTCTTTAGGAGGCAAGTGTTGCTGTCACGATTCATCGCTCAGACTGCGCATGGTGAGTGACGTAACGAGTACTTTTGTGACAATTGCCAGGATATGCCTTTGTGTACAGTTAGGGTGGCGAATGGTAGGTATATACTTCGAAAATCCTGAAAATCAATTCGGAAACTTTTGATCCCATCTTGAAATCCATTTCTCGGAATCCTCCCTGATGAATATCGAGTTTATACTATTAGCTTACAGTCACGCTCTCTAATTCAGGCACCAAAAGGATTCGCGCACCACAAAGGTAAAGATAGGGCAATCAAAATGCAATCTACACTGTAAGTGTTTTAATGACACCACATAGGCCCAGGGACATGATTCCTTCATACTGTCAGTGTAAGTTAGAGCAGAGTCCATGACTTGAAGTAAAAATTCGTCCTTGATTCAGTGCTAGTGTTTACATAGAGCGAATTATGTTAAGAATTCTTTCCCTACGAATTCTGTTTTTCTGTATTCATTAGTCACAAGCATATTCCTCAGTATTAATGTACTTCCTCCCTTCGAGCAAATGCGACCCGAGATCAAATTGCTCAAGCCCTTATCCCTGGTATGAAATAAGCTGATTTCTAATCATATTGGCTTAATTAAGTCTTAATGGAGACGTGGTCTGCAAGGCTGCTCATCCGCTTTGCACTTGCTTCTTTGGTGTTGCCCTAATCAGTCATAAATAGTACCTCTTTTTATTGACCTAAATGTCGCTTTATATTGGCCTATGATTATGGCGGTGTTTGTAAGTCGCATTTGGGTCAAACTCGGCTTTTACGATATGAAGAAACTCCTTCTCCAGCATGAAGTCACTGTAAATATTGATACTCCTCAGGAAAGGAATATGGTCCAATCCCGTCCAATCCAAAGTCAGGTGTTTTCAGGTTGCACTAAATGCTCGTTGATTGGTATCCAACAAGTGAGCAACTCCTTCTCGATAATAGCTGTAGAGTAAAATATTGCTTTTCCATCTCAACAGACATGGCTAAGCTTCATTCGTTGCTCGCGTTACAACAGTTTATGCAGGGCCTCGGTGAGGATATGGATGAAGCTGAGCTGGTAAGATCAACCGGAACAGAGGCGAACGAACGAAACCAGCGGACGGACAGAACGAATTAATACCTGGACGGTAAACGGACTGACGGACAAATGAAAGGATACATATACGACTTCTAGCCGGGTTTCGTTAATGTCCATACCTCTAAAGCTTGACGCAGCGTGATAATATTCCCAAAACTGTGCTTTCTCCGATCTGTACTAAAGGCTATCGACGATAATTCATTTTCCAAGTCGGCAGAAATTTGGTGGCACATTTTATTTTATTTTTTTTTTTACTTCACTTCACTTTATTTTGCACTTACATCTGGAATTACAATATTAGCATAAAAGAGAAAAAAAGATACATATATAACAACAGGAACCATAATCGGGGACGGAGACCGTAAGCGCGCGCCATTTCAAGTATTGGGGTTGTCCCCATGATATGGGACAATAATTCTATTTTTAGAACAA